CAGTCTTGAACAATTTACTTCCTTAATTAACTGTTTATACATACATTTAAAAGATGTGGGGCATCTAGATTTCTTGATACATGAGACTGAGAAAATCTAATCGTTGCGGACACTTGGACAAAGTATAAAATATGGACCATTTCCATGATGCATGGGAACATTATTCCAATGCGCACTTTGTTAGGGTGCTTGAGAGGAAACATAAATTGTGCTTACCACATTGGAAAAATTGCAGTTTCATCTTCGAACTCTTAGTTGTGGGAGAAGAAAAAAGTATCCCTCAGGAGACAGTGACAGTACTGAGAATCGGCAAGACATAAATGAGCAACTTGCAGGGAGGGAACATATTGTTTTAACTCTAGGCTGGAAACTTGTAAGCAGATCTCTGCATATGAGATTGAAAAATTCTGTAATTTAACACATGTTGTAATTATGGCAAGCCATATTGTCTCTTATAAGAAATTTGCTTATAACAGGCTTCTCTCCGGTTATGATAGCGCATTGTTCTTCAGATAAAAAACTAACTTAGCGAAAATGACAGTGCGGGAGAAGGAGGACTCTATCTACAAAAAATACTACAAAGTAAACGTAAGACATTATAATGATCAAGGTTACAGGGCTTTCCGCAGTCGAGTCGAGGCCATTCCGCAGCCAGTCATGTGCCGTGATCTCGGGCGTTCGGCGGGACGCCGCATTGAAGCTGTGTGCCAATGTTCTTGACCATCTTGTGTGGCCTTTCCTTCGGGCTGGGTTTGCCCAGCCCACTATAATACCTGCTATACCCCTGAGAAGGCGAAACGAAAACGTTGGGCTCGAAACTGTCGGCAACTACAGCCTTTGGACGCGGCGTCCCCAGGACAGCGCATGCTATGAACATAGGAAAGCATTAAAGTATTAAACATCTTTACTGATTCAAATTAACATGAACAATGATAAATTTATTATTCGTGTTGGAATTAACCAGAGATAAAAAAATGAGTTGCACTATGCTATCATCAGTATTTAATTACTTTGTGCAAAATATCTTCCTGTGTGAAGTTTTATTTTCAGGTTGTTTTTTTTATCTGCAGTTCATTTTTAATTCCTTAACTTTTTCTTAATTTCTTTTTCTTTTTCTGCTTTTTGAAGGAGGTAATATTTTACTGTATTTTGTTTACTAGAATGGTATTAGTTGAGAAATAGTACGAAGCTAATGGTGAGAGCTGGTGCTCAGCACAAGCAAACAAAATGATTGTCAAAGAGTCTTGAGAATTAGCTGTGAAAATTAAATACTGGAAAAAAATTTAGAATGAAAATTGCAATTCTAAAAGATTATTATAACTTTAACATTGTGGTGAAGTAGCAAATTGTTGCATAGAATTTGCAGTTAATTTGGTAGTCATTATTTAATATTACAGAAAATAATACAAATGAATATACATGATTATCACAGTCGCAAAGAGACATATTAATATTTTGCATAAAACAAATAGTACGCATAAAAAATTTAAAAAATGAAAGAAGAAAAAGGAAGCAAGTTATTCTGAATTTCAGTTTTGCCTGGGATCCAGAGTTGTAAAGCCTCAATTGTATTGGTAATGATATGTATCATGTAAATGCACAGGTTGATGCGGCTTTGGGTGCAGAAGAGATGGTTCAGCAGTTGGTTGACAGTAAACTGGAACTGGAAGAACGACTGAAGGAACTTCAGGAGACAGTGGCAGAACTGGAGGAGCTGCAAGACATGAATGAGCAGTTGCAGGAGGGCAGTCGTGAATTGGAAGTGGAGCTGCGTGAGGAACTGGACCTTGCCAAGGCTGCCACCCGGCAGGTAAATATATTTTGTGTTGATGAATTTGTACTTTGTGCTGTTTATAAAATTTTTGGTAAAAGGGTATGCAAGAATGTCAGAAAACCATTTTTATGGAAGTTATATAGATGTACTGCTGTTTGTTATTTTAAACTGGCAAGAACTAACAAAACCCCAAACTATTCTGACTAGAACATTAGGCCGACTATCCAGAAATAGTTGGACATAATTGTGATACAGGAACTAACATTACACTACATTTAATGTATTACAGAAGAAATTACACATTGTTACTATACCTAAAGTTGTTTTATTTTATTCTTCACCTATACTGCCTATACTTTACTGTTTATTATTATATATGTTATTTTTTTATCTTATTATTATTATCACTCCGCTTTTCAACGTTGTAAATCCTGATGTACTTAATTTAGATCTCAGATATTAGTAGGGGAACTGTCTGTGAAAGTGAGAAAAATGAAATAACTTGTTATGCACCTTGTGCAGGCCCAAAGGGAGCTGGAGGCAATGCATGAGACACTGGCTGATCGCGATGCAACCATCATGAAGTTCCGTGAACTTGTGCAAAGGCAGCAGGACACGCTGCAGGAAACAAGAGCACAGCTAGAACGAGAGAGCAGCCGGCCTGTGTCTGCATTGCCCACTGATGTCATTGACTTTCAGGTACAAATATGAGTATAACTTTCCCTTCAAGTTATATGTGGACTCCCCATTAATCTAGGAATAATTATTTTGAGTGGTTATTAATTGAATTGTTACAATTTAATTACAAAAATGGGCAATTGCCTGTTGATTAATTTAGGATAAATAAAATAGAAATAGCTTGAACTCATTGGTATCATGGAAGACATTGATGATGTTTCCATTTGCTTGTAGAAAATGTTTGCCGAGACCAAAGCTCACACTAAGGCGATTGATCTGGAGCTTCGTAGGTTAGATGTGCAGCAAGCCAATGAACATGTCCGGTATCTTGCTGCCTACATGCCAGACTCCTTCATGACACGAGGAGGTGAATATTGTGATTATTTTGTTTGTTTTGTTTTTATAAGCAATCATTGTGACAAAATATTTGTCATTCTTCCTGTGGGATATGATCTGAAATTACTCTGTACGTATTGTCAGTGCATGAGAAATGTGACACATCTCAAGAACTCATCAGTTTTGAGTTAAGGAAGAGAATATTTAGAATATTTTTTTTACTACCCAAAATTTGTATTACTACACAAATTTGAGTACACAAAACAGTCAGTCAAGTTAAACATATTGTCTTTGACCGCAAAATAAATTGATCTGCTCAAGTAAAATATCTTTCTCGTGCAGCGACAATTTTTGTGACGTGTTATTTTTTTTGGGCAGTGACAATACAATAAGAAGAAATAATTAATCAGAAAAATTAAAATGCGAATTTGTGTGTAAATTATTATATAGTGACAGGGATTGAATGAATGAGAGGGACTGAGCAAGTACTTGTGTGAATGAGAAAGCATGCCTGCGGGGGGGGTGTAAAGCTGACAGATGTCAACAGTTTCCTATGGAAGTGCATCATTTTGGAGAAATTGATTCTTCTTAATATTTGGAGGGGAGGTGACATGACAGTTGAAATTATTAAAATAAGAACAGTGATCTATTATTTATTCATTATGTTTCGGAGTAGAGAGAGAAGAAGGCTGAGAGATCATGTTCATAAATACGTGAAGAAGGAAAGAGAGACATAGGGAGTTGTGATCAACAAGAGCGTAGGCTTCCGTGGCTGGAGTCAGTAGCTATTTGGCTGTCAGGGAGATGCCACGTTCTAGATACAGGTGCCAACATTTTTCCTGCCATTCTGCAACCTTCGTCAAGGTGAAAAAATTCAGAACGCGGCATTTCCCAGACATTAACGAAGCTACTTGTGACAGGGTTTTCTTGATTTAAATTAAGTGATTTACATAATTGATTTAAATCATCATTTAAATCAAATAACACATGAAAAATATCATCAATTTAAATAAATATAATTTATTGTAAATTTTACAAAGAAAGAAATTTTAAGGAACTAAAGAAAAGAATAACAGATTATAACATTTAAAGTATTTGATTCTTAATAAACAATGAACTATAATAGCTTTCATGAATTATTTAATTGTTTATGAAGGAGCACCATTTGTGTGTGAAGGAAAGGCTGTTCCAAGGAAATTTCTAATTTTTGATTGGACTAGTCCAATTGTGGAAAAAGTTTGTTTCTTGCTAGCTGAAGTTGCTGATAGTAATAAATGTTGTTTTACAATGTTCATTTCCTTTTGTATAAAAAAGTTTTCATTGTTTGCATACTTTTTTCACCACTGACGACTTTTCATGAATGTGAGTACTTCATCCATAGAAGATCTAAAAATGTTCAAGTAAACGGAGCTGTTTTCAATTTATATTTTGAAATTTGTGTGATAAGTTCTACACCAACATAATTAGATTTTAAATATTAAAATATTTCTTCTCTTTTTTGTTTCTTTATGACATAAGTGTGTTCAAGACAATATTTTGGGGTTAACAAATAGTTTTCAAAATGGCTATTAGTTACTGCTTGTCCATCACGTGTATAAAATTCTTTAATTGTAAACAATTTTAAATGCCTATTTTCTAAAATTTTCCATATGTGCACTACATTGCCAGTTGCGCAGGAATTTCTTTGAACTTTGTCTAGTGCAATCGAAATTGGTTTCGAAATAGCTACCAACTCTTCTGCACTTCTTTTATTCATCATATTTGAGACTAATTTTTTTATGTCACTCTCAATTTTACTGATTCATAAAAAATTCAGAAACAATGAAAGTTCTAGTTAAACCCTCATTATCTCAGCTCAACGTCAGCATCAACTAGATCAGTGTGAATCGTCAGTGTGATCAGTCATTTGTTCTACTAAGCTCTTGAATATTTGGCCTCTTTTTTTCAAACATCTAAAAATTTTATCTAATTTAAATATTAAAATTTAGGTTGGATTTAAATTTTAAAAAATCAAATTTTTTTAAAATCAAAAAAATTCTGATTTTTAGTAAATCTGACTTGTGATCAACAACTTACCATCTCTACCATTGCTGTGGCTGCCATAGAATGCCATCCTTCATCTTGAATAGTCTCACCTCGGAAAGTGGCTTGCTTGTGTAACATGCCATGGTGTCAGAAGTACCGAGTTGTCAGCAGGTCTCATGGCTCATCTCAAAAAGTCGAATGCTCATGTCACATGCCATGGTGTCAAAAGTATTGAAATGTCAGCCGGTCTTTGGTATTTCTTTATACATTTTCAGCACTGACTGGTGGAAGAGAAAGTGCCACTGTGCAACTGGTGGAGGAAAGTCATATAAAGAGCTACAATTGGAGAGACAGAGCTGACAGGGAGATAATTAAGGAGAATGCCTCTTCATATAGGAATGGTATTGTTATCTTTGTGGCTGGTGGGGGAAGTGTTCTGTGAGAAAATTCTGTTTACAAATGGCTTGTGCCGGAGGGAAAGAGTGAACAAGTGTAAGAGAATGAGAGAGCTAGTGTAACCCTTAATTTTACGTTATATGCATTTTGTTTAAGGTGACCATGAGGCTGTACTTCTACTATTGCTGGTGCCACGCATTATCTGGAAGACAGAGATTCTTTTGGCGCAGCTGAGAGACAAGTTCCCAACTGTAGAAAAAGTGGACAAGGCTGCTGTGACAAAGGACCATGCAGTGGAACAGTTCGCGTACCGATGCTGCGTCAGCTTCCACTTGTATTGTCTGCAGGTAAGGTCCACAGTTGAAATGAGTCCAATGAATTGCTTTCTGTAGTAGTTGATACTAGTCAGGAGTATATCAAATATGCTTACCCGACTGGGAACGTCAGCTAATCGTTGATCGAAGCTGTGTTGCTGTGACCTTGGTGTGTGAATCTACTTGTTGTGAATGTACTACCTCCTAAGGAGTAATGGCAAAAAGAAATGAAAGAAATTATATTAGGAAGGAGATGAATTAAAACCTGCATTCAGTTCCATTTTTCTGTACAAAAGATCCATACCTAGACCCTGGGTTTGTTGAAGAATTTTTATTGATGCCGTAGGTATCTCTTGTAACTTTTGGCCCAATTTCAAATGATTCTTAACACAGTTCTCATTACCTTACAGACTGTACTGCAACAGTTCTGGCATGCGTTGAGTGTGTGCACCCCAGAGGCCCTGCTGAAAGCGGGTGCCTCCTGGTCTGACATGTCAGCACAAGAAAAGGCTGTAGATGCGCTCTTGGAGCTTCTGAAGAGAGACAAGCTGGATGAACACGTGAGCACTGAGGCACTGGAACGTTGCGTTAACTACTTCACTGCTGTCTGCCCCGTGGTCCTGGGCACGCCGTCTCCACCACACCACAGCCAGTTGGTACTCGTTGGCACACGCTCGCTGCAGGCAGCATGCGAGGCTATGACCACGCAGGGAGCTGCCCTTCGTGCTATTGTGCAGGTCTGTGCTTTTTGCAATTCGCTAATTTGCTGAGACAATCACTTTTAAAATAATAGGAATATGATCAAATTATGCTGAATTTATTGGTGTCTCAAGTTTAGAAATTTGACTTTGTAGAATGCTCAGAATTGAAATGTACTAAACATCGGAATTTACTAAACATCATAAATTGTAAACATTAGTCTTTTAACTTTGTATGAGGAGGAATGCTTTTAGTTTTTGAAAACTAGACTCATTTTTGTGAAAATATTTTCAAATAATTATTATTAATTTTCCCTCATTCCCTTCACCCTTCTTCTTAAAACTTGTGATTATGAATTCTGGAACTTGCAGGCTGGCCAGGAGCTGGGAGAAATAGGACTGCTGGCACAGCATGTAGCTACCCAGGGCGATACACTTACCCAGCAGTTGAAGCAGGCTCGTCGCCGGCTACCTCAAGAGGGTGCGCCATCACAACTGGGGTTGGCGAATGATGTTGTGTCTGGTCTTCAAGAGGCATTCGTGCACTCTGGAAGGGTTGTGCGCACCCTGCAGGAGGTCTTACATGCTGCTATGCAGCAGATTGGTCTCGGCGAAGGTGGGTAAATTTCAAATGGTCAGAGAAGTGTAGTGTAATAAGACACACATCTGCGGGGACACACATAGGCCTGGAGCTAAGAGAATGGCAATGCAGTAGGCCTCACTTCTGTGGGCAATCCAACCTACCCGACTCCCCCCCAGTTTCTGCCCTTTTGCCAGGTTGCTCTGAAATACAGGAAGGAGCATGTACCAGAATGTAGTATTAGCAGAGCTTTCACTACAGTTTAACACTGTAGTGAAATTAATCATGGGTTTTTAATTCTAAAGATAGATGAAATATTGGGAGATTGATAACTGAAATGATGATAGAAATAATTGATTGAATGACTGAACAATTGACTGAATAGATCGAAACAATATGTGAGCGCTACATAAAATCTGTTTTTACAGCCACATTACACACACATTAAAACAGCGTTTTTAATTTTAATTTTTTTGTTAATCAGATGTGGAGTCTGGAGTGCCTCATGAAAAACTACGAGAGTTCTCGCATGTGGCATGTGACCGAGTGTATGATGAGGACAAGGGGCCTGTGGAATGTATCAAGTCATCAATTCAACTCATTTCCCGGGAAGTTACCAGGCTTTCCCAGTTCCTGGCTGACAATGAGTATGAAATTAATACCATGTCCACAGCTGAGGAGAAGGTGAGTAATAGAACTGCCATCCTTAATCGCACACATGAAGGAAGTATCATTGGACTCTTTGCTTCTTCACCCCTTATCTATGATATAAAATCATCTCTAGGAGAATTCCAATTATTATGTGTGGTATTGTTTGTGAGAAGCAAACTCTGATCTCTAACACAAATAATCTTGTGCAGTTACATTTAAGCCTACTCTGCTGCTACTGGTAATTACAGAGCGTATGAATTTTCATAGGCATTTTTATTTGTTGAAACTTTTTGACAGAAAACCTAATTTAAAAGAGCCCAGAGGATATAAAAATATAGAATAGTAAAATTTATGAACATGGTATAGGGTAAATACACCCAGAGTGGCCATCAGGGCTCTACAACTCCCATGTAACGTGGTGGAAACCATGATGGTAGCGTGCTCTGCTGCATCACCTTACAAGAACTAAAACACAAACTGCAGTCAACGATACTTTAAACATGCATGGCTGCTGCGTGAGTTCACAGGTCGCAAGCAAGTCCATAATGTTACAAAAGATAATGTCTATGTTCGTGCTTGCTTCAGAGGTTTCTTATAAGTATAGATTATGAATAATTGAACACTTAGAAGACACTTTTCATATTTCTCACAAATTAGCCAATTTATATGAGGGAAATTTGGCGAGCCTAACATGCAGTTGCACCCGGCGACACTAGCGCCTCCTATAGTAGCAGGGCCCTGATGGCCACTATGTTAGTACCACTTAAAACGCACTCACTCACTCACTCTCACTCTCTTCCTCACTCACTCTCTCTTCCTCACTCCCTCACACTCTCACACCAACCACACACAAAACTATTTTTTAAAATTCTTGTGGAAATTCATGTTGAGAAGTTTGTAATTATTTACTAATTATACATTTGTAATAATTACCCTTTAATTAATATAGTGAACTACCCTATAATTTGTAATTCATATAATATGAAGTACCAATCTGGGACCAGGTTTTGAAAAATATTTCTAACATACATACGTAATACCCTTCCTTGTCAGGTTTTTTTGCAAATTATATAGTGATATTTATCCTGCAAATTAAATCTTTAATTAATCTTAACATCTGTGTCTGTTTGTATTGAAGCCAACTGCTCCAATAGTGCTTCGTGCTCAAACCGTAAAGAAGGAGCTGGAGGAGACCAAGATCCTGCGCCACAAGCTGGAGATGAAAGACACTGACATCAAGGAGCTGAAGCTGACGGTGAAGTTGAAACAGGAAGAGCTAAGCGAAATGACAATTCGCAAAGACATGGCAGAGAAGAAGCTGGGCAGCTCTCATAAGGATTATGAACTAACCATCGAGAAACTCAAGGTTTGCTGTTTTTCCTTCAATGTTTCTTATGTAGTTTGAAACTGAACACACTTCGCCCATCCATCTGTTGCTGGTTACAAAATTTCATTTTGGATAAAATCTTCATTTTCATTAATGGCATTAAATATTTGCTCTTCATGCGATATGCTATGAAAATTTGTGTTTTTTATATTCCTGGTATGTGAAGAACTTAAGTTCTCTGTATCTGTATATTATGCTATGTTATTTTAGTCTTCATGCAAGACAGTTATTGTTAAAATACCTAATTTATTTTGATGTTTAAACGAAACTTATTTTATTCGTTGTTCTTGAGCAGTGTGTGTATGTGCTACATTTTAGAAAACCATTTTGTGTGGTTTTATTCAACAGCATTGTTGCTGCTGCAGACCACTATTGTTTCATTAATGGTAAAAATGTTAATTAAAAGAATTTAATGCTTCAAAAATTATTACACAATTAAAATTGTTATTTTTTTTAATGATACTTTCAAACTACAAAGCCAAAGTGTATTAAAAATTGAATAGTAAATTTTCACTACTAATTTCATGCAATGGAATTTCATTGTTAAAAATATTGACTTAATTCAATAGTCCCTAGTTCTTTTTTTTATCAATTTAAATAAAATAATACTGTACGTTTCATGTTTGTGTTTCATGGTCTTAAATATTGAATAACTGTTGTTTTAGAAAAATAATGGAGAAAATTAAAATGAAATTAAAATTAAAATAGCATTTTCAATGCTGGAAACAAGGGAAAGTCAGTCTTTTGAAATTTCAAATGAGCAACAGTGCTAATTTTTTAAGTTCATATTGAACATAGTGTTGATGTTGTCTGTTGCTGTGTTTTAGCGCAAAGTGGATGACACTCAGCAGTTGCTGAAGCGCAAGGAGAAGGAATTTGAGGAGTCGATGGACCATCTGCAGGCAGACATTGATTCACTTGAATCGGAGCGAGGTGAACTGAAGGAGAAGCTGAAGAGCATGACCAAGAAGGCTCTCTTTGAGGGCATGGGCAAGTCAGCAGGTGTGTGCGAGTGAGATGTTACGACACCGAGTGCACAAACGGGATAGAATATACTACATAGATTGGCTGAAGCGCCTCCATCTCAGCAACAAATTTAAGCCATGTTTTTTGCACTCAAGTAGCTCTCTCTGGAGGAACAGAATATCCTAGTATTCCATTTGGTGCTGGTTAAGAGCCAGGTGGGCTGGGACCATGTACAATATAAATCCTCTTACTCTGTGTTTCACAACCAAAAATCAATCATTTAAAAACAAAATCACAATATGTAAGGAGAACTAATTGAGAAACTTTAAAAACGTGTTGCTTCCTGCATCAGTTATTGTCATAAGAATGGAACCTGTTGAAATATTATTGCAGTTAGCATACATAACACCTGAAAGTGAATGTTATTGCAATAAGAAACAAACAAACAGATCACAAATAAGTCATAAAACTTGAAAAATGGTTCATTAGTGGTTTGATGACGTGTACTTTTACAGTTATGTGCCGACCATACTGAAGGCATTGTGTCTAATAACAGTATGGAAATAAGATCTCGGATAAACGTCTATTCAGAACACCAGTTCTACAGCACCGTCAGGTACCTTTCATGTTTTGACTGCAAAAAACATGGTGGCTAGGCATAGGGCCAGCCACTCTATGCAGTATCTGCTAGCACGTTGGAGTGTACACATCATAAAATGAAACCTACAGATCAAGCTGGCTCAGGGAGTCAGCTGATGTCACTGCAGGACCGCTGACCCGGAGATCCTAGGATTCTACTCCTCATGCTGGCAGAATGTTTGACCTTAGCTAGGTCTAATTCAGTCGCTGTCTGGAGGTGAATTCTAGTGGCTAGCTGCTCTGAGAGGTAGTGCTAGCTGCTCTGAGAGGTAGTTTTCTGTGGTTTCTCCATTCAATACCGGGTGAATGCTGAAGCCGTACACTAAATGGGCCACAGGCTGCATGTCATATTTCCTTCCTCTTCCTTGACTTATCATCATCCCTTACTTATAAACAATACACTAACTCACATGTTGAGAGAGCAGTTGGGAGTTTAGAGCTTGCCTTGGGTTGGGAGGAGTACTATTAAGAGAGATACCTGGTTGTGGAAAACTCTGATGAATATTACACCATAACATCAAATCTATCCATCAATCAATTAATCAGTCAACGAATTGAAGCCTTTCATACTACCAGTCGGAACATATTGTTCAATTATGGTAGCGCTACTGTGAATGTGTCTGCCTGTTCTTCTTAGGTTTTGATTGTGATGCCCAGCACAAATTTTCTTATGTGAAAATTGATTGCATGCAGTTCATGTATGCATTGTTGGCAGCGTAAGCTGACGAAGAGAGTTTGGGCTTGAGTACTGCTATCTAGTAGCAGCCTGACCAAACATCAAAATTAGCTAGGAAAGTTATCCCTTTTTAATTATTTTATTTCAGTCTAAAATAATGAATGTCAATAAAGTAATGTAAGTACATTTATATTGAAATGAGAGTCAGTGATTTAGCTACAAAATTCAAAAACATAACATTACTCTGTGCTCCTGTTGAAATGTTTCATTCTAAGAAGCATGAAACATTTTGAAAAATGCATTTAATAAGAAACACATAAAACAATACTACAGCAGAACTCAACCCAATTTTTGAAATTATCATTCCTTCCAAATATCATTGGCTACATTGAAAATAATGAAACCAAAGAAAATAAACGCATTAGAATTCACTTTAAGTTGAAAGTAATTGAACTCAAGTGAAATATGAATCTCTCCCTATGAATTGAACTCAAGTTAAATTCTTTGTGCACAGCAACGTACACACCAGAAGCACACCACCAATGAGTACATATGTTCAGCTACCTTACACCTTCAAAATTCAAGAATTGCGGGTGCTTTCTTTATGATAATTATTAGCATTATCAGTTCCTTCAAATCCATTCTAACCTAGTTAAAATGATTTTCCTTTCCGAAGCCACAAACAAGCAAATCTTATAAACTTTGTTCATATTCTTCTTCATCTTTCACAACTCTCACATAACAAGAGAATCTTTTGAATCAATCTGCATCAAACTTTTATCATCTGTCATTTTACTATCCTAAATAAAGATATTTACAAATAAAAATGTGTAACTAGAATACGTGTTGCACAAAAAAATGAATTGGTAGATCTATAGCAACTTGCTATCAAGATAAGTAGAGTTGTGAAGCCAACAAATTCTGGCAAAAACTTTTGTCGAACTAATTACATTCTCGAAGGGAATGAACAATTTAGGAATATTAAAGAAAATTTGTGATTAAGTGTTTTATGACATTAGAAATATATTGAACTCTGTGAAAATTATTTGCACAGGAACTACTGGTTAAATAAAATATTTAGTTTCAAAACTCTTACCTTTTTGAAAATGCAAGCCACATACTCGAGGAAATTCTCTGAATTTGTGTAGATATAGTATTAATATAACCTTACAATTACATATAATTTGAATTGTGAGAAATGTTTGGATGTAACATATGTGCTGTTTTTTTTTTTCAGCGATTTCATCAGCTGCTCAACAGCAGGCTCAGATGACAGCAGGACCGGGTTCCATAGTATCTAGCACGGAGGCTGTTCGTGATTCTCCATTACTTCTCAGCAAGATTCATGACCTAGAGGCAGCTCTCGAGCTGGCAAGAGACGAGAACTGGCGTCTGTGCACACAGCAAATGTCGCAGAAGCTGGCAGCTTTGAAGCCTTTACATGTAAGTGCAACACAGTGATGTGATGGTTGACTTTGCCAACGTAAAGATAGACTACACGGACCAAAGATTGCTTATTGCCATTTTCTATGTTTCACATTATTTCTCATCTGCTGTCAAGTACGTTTCATCCAATTGCCTCCTTGCTATGCGAACAGATATCATAATCGCACCAACTTAGTGTTTAAAGCCACTTTATTGGGACCCAACAACACTTTTTTTTAAACGACTCAGGAAACACCTATTACCACACCGTGAAAACGTATGAAATCTTGCACGGTTTGCCCCAGCCATAACAAACTACAAAAGAGAAGGGAGTTTTGTTTCTTGTTTTGACTTGTGTAACATTGATTTATTATTCTAACAGTTCTTTTCTTGCCTGCCCTTTGCCTTCAACATACACACTGTGTTGAGTGAATAAATTAGGGTGCAAATGTGTTGTGTTGAAACAGTCTGTTGTTGGTTGTGTTCATGAGGAGAATTGAGAAATAAAAACAATAGGTATATGACCAAACAATGAAAGGTAAGTACATTAAGAAATAATATAACTTTTTGGAAGGTATCAAAAATTGTCCTTTAATTTTGTATTTTAGGATATAAAATAATGCTTTCAAAAAGAAAATATTTGTAAATCTGTGCTATCCAGAATACTACAATGCGACCTAAAATACTAGAATGAAAAATTAGATGAATGAAGAATAAATCAAGAAAGGTAGAAAACCTAAATATAATAGTAATGATCATTAATTATCTTTCAGAATTGTAAGAATTAGTGTAAATAAAAATTGCACAAGAGATGTAAAGTTGGAAAAAAAAAAAAGTGAACCAGGTCTTGTATGTTCATAGAAGGAAAGGAAACAAACTGGAAATCCTGAATGTTCGGGATAACACTAATCCCCCACCGACAAAAACTATTGTAATTATTAAATGTGAGCATTTGATTTTTAAAGTTAAGTTGGATCATCCTTGAATAAAAAGGACCCGGGTCACATATTTGCTTTAATAGAAATAATATTCTTTGAAAATGAATATCTAATATATAAAAATCAATGTTTGTTTGTTGGATTGTGCTTAATGTGCTGCCTTACCGTTCTTTCAATTGCGATAAAACTTCGTCAACTTATTGCTTGCACTTGAGAGAAGGATATAGGCACAGTACAATTATTGTAACTCCACAAGACGGCACTGCAGCAGAAGATGATGCTTCATTTAAATGCAATGCCCAATACACCTGAACTTCATTGTTGCGGAGCATCTCCTTGTGACGTGGGTTGAGGCAGAGGATAGGAGCAAGGTGCAAGAATGAAAGAGGAGTGGAGAAAAAGACGGGGGGAGGGGGAGTGAGAGAGGGAAGGAAAAGAGGGAAAGGGTGAAGGGAAAGTGAGAAACAAAATAACTCTTATCAAATTTCAAACAAAATGTTCATAATTATTTATTTTGTGGCAGCAAAGCGCCAGCTAGTAATAGATAAAAAATGGTAGTTGCGGAATCCAGTCTAGATATACTGACATAATTTTTCTAGCACTAGCACAAATACAGCCTTGCCCAAGGCGGGACTTGAACATGAGATCCTTTGATCTGAGATTGTTATGGCACTACTGCCTTAACGGTCTCGACCATCTGGACCAGCTATTGTACTTTTAATGTTGACATGGTACCTTGATTTTAACTGTTATTGTAATGGTATGGTAACAATTTTTACAAATGTCGTTGGATTTCAGAAAAGAAAATTATGATGTAAAACTTTTTGGAAGTATTTATGGTAATTGTTCTCAATTAAAAAAGGGTCTAAACAATATTTAAATAGAAGTTAGTTTTTGTTGTTTCAATTTCAAAAATTGGGTAAAAAACAAAACTATAGATGTAAGTCTTTCATAAAAAGCCTGTTAAACTTTTTGAACATCTGGTTACATGTGAGGCGAGAACAGGAGAGGGGTTTCTTTGGTTTTCGGGACCAGAACCATTTTGGGAATTTTAGGAACAGGTCCTCTTGGCAAATATGTTGGTTTCACCATTTCTGAAGATAGGGAGTCAGATTGCAGGGAGGGAGAGTTAATGTGAATGTATTTTAACAAAGAGAGGTAATGTAATGTATTTTACCAAAAAGTTTGATATTGTTCCAACAATGCTCTAATTGTAAATTTAGCTATTATGTGAATTAAAACCTATTCAAAGTTGAAGGAGGAGTAAGAGCAGAAAATCCATTCACATGCCTTCCTTCAGAACAAAAAAAAAAAAAGTCTAAAAATGCAGCCGGAAAAATTTTGAATAGGAATATGCTGTTCAAAGTAATGCTTGTCACCAACAGACTATCTGAAAGGTACTTTGAAATAATCATAAAAAAAAATTGAATTAATGGCAAATCTGGTAATCAACGGAAGTTTTGGGAACTGGCAGTCAGCCTAATCCATGATGATTATTTTTAATGACTATTGAACTATTCGAGTTTATAACAGGAGTTAATACTTGTTTGGTAGGTTGCAGGATACAAGCCGCCTCCAAAATCACAGAATGAGGAGACTGAACGTGAAGAAAGCAGACAGAGACAAGTGCGGCTAGCAGAACTCATAAAGAAGGGTGATGAAATGAAGAAGGTAAGAAAAAAAGGGAAGGTAAAGAAATTTTTTAGCTTTCCCAGAGGGAGAAAATTTTTTATGTTGCCACTGATTTTAAATTTAAAGAAAGTCCCTGTGGCAAAGTCTAATGTCATGTAATTGATGATAGGAGTAATGAATGGGCAAAGTGTATAACTTTTTTTGAGAGTATTTACTGTGATATTATATGTTGTATGTCGTAATTCTTATAGTCTCTAATACATTAATAAAGTAATAATTATTCAATCTAGTACTTAGATTTTGAATATGTCTTAAAGTCTATTCTGGTTGTAATGATCCTCTGTAGACTAACCTTTTTGGTTCACTAATCCAATAATCCAAAAATAATATATTGTAGAATTCACATCCATTCATCCATAATAAAATAAGGGATGTAGTTCATGAGATTGGTCAAATTATAAACAATTAGTTGCAAATGTTTCGGAACCTTTTAATTCCTTCATCAGGGCTAGTGTACCAAACAAGAAACAACAGCAGCAACAAGAAGGCATGAAGACATCAATATGAAATTACAATCCAATAATATGTTATGCTAAACAAACAAAAACAAAAGTGAAATAAAATTGTACACACCTTTAACGTATGTACAATTTTAAATCACTTTTGTTTTCCGAACCATTGGCAGACTAATTGTTTAATAGTTTATAATTCCACCAATCCTGTGAACTACATCTCTTAAAAATAAACTAGTTTTTCCTCAATTGATTTTGTTATTACAGAGGTACAGTAAAATATCCAGAGTTCAAACATTTGAAATTTCAGTATATTCATTTAGCTTGATAATAATAAATCTTATTACCATTTGCTGTGTAATTTTTTTATAAACTCTTATCGGGCAGATTTATTTTTTAACATTTTCTCTAAATCATTGTGTAATTTTCAAGCAAAATTATTCCAAGTGGTATGGGAGTGATCAAGAAAATACATACAATATCACTTCTAATAAAAATGCCAGTGTAGGAAGAAAAAATGCCATGTCCTCATAGGCACACTAGGTAAACATATATGAACTAGTTTTCAAGAAGAAACATTCTATTTATTTGTATAAAGTTTAAATTTTTTGGCTGACCTCTTCAAATATCCATTGTTCTTCAGTACTGAAATTTTTTTTGAGTAAAGTGTAGGACATCATTAGGTATGTGCTCCCCTTACACTAACATGCACTATACCATCCCACATGCAGGGAGACTGGTCAGAAGCTTCGAGCTTGTCCCGACTGGGGCAAGGCGCGCTAGTGGGAGATACTTGATTGCGGAAAACCCCGCTAGCCTCCGGAAGGTAGTGCTAGATCTCACCTTCCTCACCACCTCCCGAGTAAACGACATGCACTACACTCACAGGAGTGATTACCTTAGCTGTTGCTGCACCCGTAATCACTAACAATCAATCAATCCAGAGTTGACTGTAGTGATTGCAGATTGTGTGCTCAGAGTAATTGAAAGATTTGTTTGTGATTGTTAGGATTTGTGGAGCTCGATGACTCCAAAAGTGTTGGACATCTCCAAGCACTCGCCAGGTGCCTGGGAGGACATTAAGGCTGATTGGGTGCGCTATGAGACTGAGAAGGCTGTGAAGGAAGAAGCTGCCAAAGAGAGGGCAAGGGCGTATTTGGTGAGTACCTTCTCTCTTGAACACAGAAAGGGAGCAATGAAAGTATAAAATGTTGGTTGAAAGTTTTCTTTTAACCAAATTACATGAACCTCCTTTGGTAGCACAGGGGCATGATGTTATATTAAAGAATACAAAATCTAATGCTGAGGGTTTGAGTCCTGAATATTTTTACCATACAAGTGTCACACAACATACTTTCTCAAACCACCATGCATGACTTAATTTCTATTGGAATGTGGCAGAATGTGTCCAGTACCTCAGGTCTGGACCTCACTGTCTGGGTCTGACAACAACCTCCAAAAACAAAAAAAATACAATTTCATGGTGTTTTTTTGCTATAAAAAATGGAGTGTGATGGCCCAATTCTGGCTTCAGAATGAGGTTCAGCGTGATGAAATGCATAAAAAAACATGTGTCAAGTCTTTGGGTATGACAACTGTGTGGGCCTGTATTAATACAGTAAAATCTAAGTCAGAATCAATCTGGACACAAAAAAATTCTGGTTTAGAGAGGTTTCTGTTTAATGCTATATTGTCCATTTTATGACACTCGTAATTTTGATGTTCCTGCCCTAAAAATAGTAATTTACATTACTTCATTATAATTATCAAAATACGTTAACATACAATGTATTAATGAAAGAAATCACCAATAAATGAATATTAAACACTTCATTGAAAGCTTCTGAATTGAAAAATACAGAATACTGGCTGTATTTGGACAACTTGCTGACTCTTTCAACGCACAGTGTGACACAACCCAGTTGTAGGATTTTCTGATACCTTCACATGGCCTTGAGCAAAGCGTACCTGGTCGAGGGGTTATGATTTTCAATATGGAGCAAGGACACGCATGAATAGAAGCCATGTCTGTATACCTTCCCATGCTCAGTCAGAAGACATTTCCCTACAGCTTAGTCCTTAAGAGACATCAACACCAAGATTGAATTTAAGCTGACAGCTGGAGCCCCTCTTCTTCAATGACTGGGCTGCTACGACTAAATCGCATGTCCTAGGGATAGTAAATTTAAAACAAGCTTGCAAATGCATTCATTTCATCTCGTGTCTTTCTGCCAATTCCATTAAATTAATAAGAATTCCATTTTATAAAGATTTTTTTTTGCCCTGCAGGACATTAAAAACTGTTCCATTTCTGCGTTGAAGGTTCTGTTTTATGCTGTATAAAATTCCATTTAACTTCATGGGCCGGAGAAATTTTCGAGTAAAAGCAGTTTTCCAGCTTATACCGGTTCGGATTTAGACAGATTTTGAAGTATATGCAACCTAAATTAATGTTTTAATAATAATTTTTTGGATTGCTTTGGGAAAGACATAACTCTATATCAGAATTAAACTTCATACAATTTATAAAATAAGTACTATTAGTATAAATTATAAAATAAGCACTAGTGAAATTAGTCTAAAATATAATAAATAATGGAATAAAGTAAAATAAATGAATTCATTATATTTAAGTTGTCACATTAAAATTGGTAATACTGTGGAAAAAAGAATGTTGACATTGCTAAAGAAAATGAATGAAAAAGTTAGTTTGGTATCTGATAATTTTAATAGTTTAGAAGTAGTTAAGAAAATGGGAAATTTCAGAAGCATGTTCTAAGTTACTATTAAAGGTAAGTAAAGATATAATTCAATAATATGAAGGAAAATGTTTCAGTTGGAGGCAGCTCAGGAGATAGTGAAATGCAAAAGAGGAGGCAGTGTGTCAGCGGATTTTACCACTTTCCCAACTCCAGAAATGACAAAGGTAAAATGGAAATGCTGTCTTCTTGCATGACGTTCAAGATATTTATAAAGATTTGCCAAGCTCTTAAAGACCCTCTTGGAAATATGAATTAGGGTTATATGTAGGAAGTTATGGACACGGAGGAAAAAAGTTGCGGCATGTGGTAAGAATGACTGGTTGAGTTTCTCAACTTCGAACTCCATTCCTTAACAAATTTTCATTTGATCTTAAATGAAACACTGTGCATTTTGGCCAGCTCTCTCCGATGACCATTATTAGTTTTGTTATTATTATCATTATTATTCTTAGTATAGATAACACAAATTCGCTTTTTGATATTGTCGGCTTCCAATTCTATTTATATGGTATCCTAACCATGTTTCGATCACTCGCCAAATAATGCTACTTCTACACGTATTACACAGTTAATTTTCAAACATTCATCAGTGTTTTTAACGCAATTTCAATTCTAAGTTGGAAGGTGATTGGTCTCAATATGGCGTTGTTTGGTATCAATTTTATTGTGGTTCTTCTCAACTTAAAGTAGAAAAGGTGTAGGATAAGTTGATAGTGTACGGGAAGTAAGAGTTAAGTCATAAAAGTAAGTTTGAAGAAAAGTAGAAATACAATTGTGTGTGATCTCTGTAAAGCTGAGAATATTTCAAAACTTTAAATTTGCTACATTTTAATAGTACATTGGTCAAGAAGGTTATAGATTTTGTTAAGTACAACTCTCTAAGCTACATAATTTCACTATCTACTTGGTTGTTCGTGAGATGCTGCAACCTAGGCAGATGCCAGCGCTTCGGACATCAAGCTATGACCTTCCTCAGAGCAAAATGCATGGTCTCAGCATAATGGCTGAAATGTTGGCATCTGTGCCTATGATGCAGTCTCTCTCGGTCACAAAACCAGACTTAACTCCTTTTGCCTGAACACCATGGATTTTGCCCATGTTTTTCATAAATTAAACAGCTTTTTGTACACCAATGAAAGTAATGTTGATGTTTTGCTCCTTGATAAGCTGCTAACTTTACCATCTTTTATCTGATTGATTGCTTTGAATTGCGTTTAAGACTTGAGTTAAAATATTGACAGAATCATTAGTCTATTACAGAATGTCTTTGTTCATTGAATTATTTCTTTTCTCCATAGGCATTTGGTAAGACTGAAGCCAAAACTATTGGAAGAGTCCATATTCCATCTCAAACTGGAGAATCGGGAGTGGTCCCAGTACTCCTCACTCCAGATACCCTCTACCAAGTTCACTCAAGACTGCTATCAGCATTCTAAAGCTTGGCTTAGTCTAGTATTTTGTCTACTAAAAATAAGTAAATTAACAAAAAAGTTAACTTGATTTGCCTTGTTGATCTTAGCTTTCTTGTTAAAACTCTGTATATATTGTGAAATTGTTTCTGTTCTGAAGAACAAAGTGCTACTGGAATTGCTTATTTATATTATTTAGAAGTAGAGGTACTGCTAATTTATGAGTGGCTGTATTACTTTGTTACTGTTTCCTTTTTGTGTCATATTTTATTTCTAAGATAAAATTTTTAAATCTAAAAAGGAAAAAAAGAAAATAAAATAAATCACAATGCTGTGATTAACAACCTTGCAATTTATGAAAAGGCTTCTGGATTCAATTTATAGGTTTGTTTTTGAATTATTTACCTGTAATATTTGTTTACATTTTTTAGTTAATTTGTTCCAGAAGGAACTGAAAGAACTCATTTTCTATTGTTAGTAAATATGTATTAATTGCTTACAAATACCCTAAAAGATGTAAAAAGAATAAGGTTTTGATTTAAGGCTGTATTTCTAAACAAACTGTGGCAAATAGTCAAGCTTCCTTATTTGCGTACTTCAAATTCTATTTATTTTCTTGTTTATACAAAACAAAATTTGCAGTTAAGATATTTATGTGCACAAAACAAACACATACTGAAAATAAAATCTATATGCTCTATGTTCCCTTTTTCTATGCCAATCATTAAGCATTCCATTCTGACATTGTTACCTTCCGTATGAAAGGTGTGTGTGTGTGGGGGGGATTTAAGTGGGCAATTTTGAATGTTTATATTTTCTTTTCTATAAATTCTTTTTATCTTTCAATATTGAAAATTCTTTAATATTATCCAGCGAATAACGGAAAAACAGCAAAAGCAGCCAAAATTATATTACATTAGAATGAATACAACACTAACAGCCTGCAGTATAGCAACAATGCTGCTGAACAAAACCACACAAAATGGTTTTCCAGAATGTTGCACGCACACTGCTCAGGAACAAATAAAATGCTCTCAAATTATATAAATTAAACACTTAGTCTTCAAAAATACTACAAAAACATAGTATATATATCCATGTAACAGTGCTTTACGTGCTGTGAAGAATGTCAAAAAAGTTGCTGTTCCCTAATGCAATACATTAACAGCAAATATTTAATGAGGGACAACCTCTTACTTGGAGTCTTCCTGTCACATGACGTCAGCTGTTCTAAGTAATGACATGCAGAGTATGAGAATTCAGTAGGTTCAAGGACAGTGTCAGACATGAACAGTTGTCATTATAAAAGATCTTTATTGTGTAACATTCACGGACGTTCTACATAGTCTTCTTTCAGTAGTGACCCCAAATAACTATTTGAAAGGTTTGTTGATTTGTCAGAAAACTTTTGTGGGAATATAGCAAAGGATCACAAAATGTAAGTTAAGTTTCTTTTCTTTCTTGTATTATGATTTGTTCAGCATTCATTCAATCTGGTTGACTTAGGAGTTGTGGTTAAGAGCATATTGGCCCACCTTCTAATAAACATATCAATCATATTTGAGGAAATTGTGTGACAAATGTTAGAAACAATGCAACTTATTAGTCTTTTGAAATATTTTAAACTTTTTCACAATGTATAATTATAATAATGTTAAGAAGAATCACGAAAACAAAACCAAAGCTTTCAACGCCCCCAAGGAGCTCGATGTGTTGTATCAATTGGAGACTTGACACATTTTTTAAAAAATCTTATATTATCTTATTTTATTCCACGTCTATTCATTTAGGCATGCTTTTCCAGACTGGTATGACCTTTAATAGGATTCAAACAAAAATGTTGCTTACGGGGTGGCTACTCATTTCCTGGTAAAAATTGCCTCAACTTTTTTTTTGGTAGGCCAGTGCAGTTTTATATTTTTTTCTTGTTAAGATTTGTCAAGAAAACATTAAAGTTACGATGATACTAACTGGTCAGCTCTCCGATTTGGAGATCGCCAAGGAAAAATATCAAATAACAATATTTTTTTCACCAATTAAAAAATTAACTTTGTACAAATTTTTTAAGAAGTAATATATCCCTTTGACAGCTGTATATGTTAATCTCAAAATTAAACTGTAAGGGCTCCTACAAGATCACGGCACGTGCATCAGAAGTATACACATTGTCTTGCCTGGTAGCAAAAAATCCATATCAATTTGATACACATGGCAGTCTAAGAGATATAGCTCTAACACCCTCTGAAAATTTTCCCCAACTTTTACGATTCTTCCCAGACTTTTCCAGAGCAATGAAATTCTCTGATTCATCATGGTTTTCCAAAAAGTAGCCACCCTGTCATATTCATTTACACAACAAATACACAGTTCAATTTTTCAAAATATATAAGTATATTTTAGCACTTGTCTCACAAATCAATTTTATATAAAGTATTTATATTACACAATTCAAATCAGTCTGTACATTTATAGGGCATTTATTTGCAAAGTACTGAAGTCATGTTCCTGGTTCCTTAACATTTTCATTTGATTTTTCCTTAGGCTCCCACAATCCACTTCTGATGAATCTTCCCGCAGCTTCTTTGTCGATGTGTTTCATAACATATTTCCGGTCATACACTTGCTTTGCTCGTGTGTTGTAAGTTCTCACACGGTCAATTTCGGACTTTACTGGGTGCTTCAAAGGATCGAGCCCTTGGGTCCTCAAATACAACCAAAAGAGAGAATTCATAGAGTATGTCATAAATAAATCATATTTCACTTTGTCTTCAAGAGAAAGTTCGTCATAAACAGAACTGCTACACGCGGCTTGAATGAAATTTCCAATTTTGTCTACATGTTCGTGAAATTCTGACATCGTAGCTGTAAATTTTGCATCTTTGGATAGTTCTGCGAAGTCAAGTAACTCCGGATTGCTTTCTTCACTCATATTTCTGGAGTAGTTGCGATGAACAAAAAATTATTTGTCAATTAACCTCAAAAATGATAATCCTCAATAAAAATGTAACTAAACAACCAAAATGTCAAATCCATAAAAGCAGAAACACTGAGAGCTCTTGAGAACACCAAACCCAATTTTACTACTCTTCAACACAAACAAGGCGAACCCACATTACTGTTATATTCGTTGCTCTATGTAGACTCTCACTCACTGAGACTATTCCAGAGAGTATATTACTTATTCTCTATTCTTTGAGCGAAGCAAAAGCAACAGCAACACTGTGCGCAGTTGCGAAGGAACAATTGAATATCAACTGAACAATTATGAAACGCGTCAAAAGCATTCGTAATCACAATCTACACGAATCGAATTTCTGCACAAAGGACAAATTATATTGTAAGTATTATTATATTATAACACGGCTTTGTTGTATGTTTTATTTGTTATTGTCGAAAATATTAAATTATTCAATTTTAGATGTTTTTAAAAATCTTTTCATATTGTCATGTTGGCTACTCTCAAAATGGTTTCATGTGGTAAGAATGTGGTACATGTTCTCGAGAACACGTGGGGGTGTAACAAGGTATTAAAGAGTGCAGCGTTGCTGGAGTGGGGTAAAAGCCACGTTCAACTAAATAAACCTAATTCTGAATGGAATTAAAGCCGTGAATGTATTTCAGTGCCTTGAGATATAGAAGTATATTTCAGAGGGTTACATTTAATGAAATATCAAAAAATCTATGAATATGTGTGATTAAATGTTTTATTTTGTTTGTTGCTTCTGAAGTTAGGATCTGAATGTGACTTTAAAGAAACCTGAATTACAACTATATACTGAAACTTTATAATATTTGCACATAAAGAAGAATTAATATATACATTGAGGTTTTTAGTATTAGAAAAATTGCCAAAATGGATGAAATGTTGAAAGATGCACGCTTTGCACATATTCCAAGGGACCCTGCTTTCAAGAGAATTCCAAAACAAGAAAGAAAAGTTAAAATTGATAAAAGGTTTCAGTCAATGTTTAATGATAAGAAATTTAAAGTTAAGTATACAATAGACAAACGTGGGCGACCTATGCGAAATTCATCCACTGAAAATTTACGACGTTACTATGAATTAGATTCAAGCAATGAATCAGGAGAAACTAGTGATGAAGACTCTGAAGGAGAATCTCTTAATAAACCTGTAGTGAGATCAAAACTAAATAAAAATCAGAGTAATAAGAAAGAACATGACGATGCTGATGTGAAAATCACTGAAAGAAAAGTAGGTAAATTGAAGAAAGAAGGTAACGTAGAGAACAATTCTAAGAAAATTTCATCTCTACAATTGAGTAGTAATGTACAATTAGAAATAAGTGAAGATGATGATGAAGAAGAAGAAGATGATAAAGATAATGACAGTGATTTTGATGGGAAGGGAAATGACAAATTGGAAAGTAATAATCAGTCTTTTGATGAAAAGCTGCGATCGCGTTTGCAAGATATGTCTGTTGACTATGCTCGAGGGGAAGGTATTATCCTTTCTGACAGCTCTTCTGATGAAGAAAGTTCAGATGATGAAGGTAAGTGCCTTCACTACACATAATCTACATAATAATTGATAAGTGAATAACTTCTTTATTTCTATTTCTTGTTAAGTTATGTGTGGAAATGCATAATGGAATGAAGCTTATAAACCCAAATGTGGAATTGACATTAAAGCATAACTTCATGTAAGCAACGTACATTATTAACATTACATTTATGGGAGTACTTTTTGGTTTTTATGTAAACTTTAATATTTCTTCCAACAGAAGATGAAGATGATGAAGAAGCGATTGGTTGGGGGCAGCTCGATGAGGATGCAGAAAGGACAGATGAATCAACGAATCGTTTAGCTGTATGTAACATGGATTGGGATCGCATTACAGCCAGGGACCTGTTGGTCCTTTTGCATTCATTTGTTCCTAAGGGAGGCCTCATACTTTCAGTAACAGTAAGTGTTCAATATAATCTTTTGCCCTATAAATAATTTTTAATAATTGCAATAAGGTATAATATACTATTTGAACTATTAGTAAATTATGTAACATGAGGATTATTTTCATCAATAGTCTGGGTTTCAATGCAAATGCATATTATTCCTCTTTAGACAGATTGTAAGCTCACATGGTATGTGCATGAAGAAACACACAAGTTCCAATTATGTAAACATAATTTTATAATACATATCTTGCATATTTTATCCCTTTTTCTTAATAATCATAATATTTTAACATATTGCTAATTATTATGCATATTTTGCTTAAAACTCCCTATCATTACTTACATTTACTTCATATATTTAATTTAATTTTATAATTTCTGTTTCTGTATACATGGTTTATAGCTAATATGAGCACCTTCTTTCATGGCTCAGCAGTACTTACAGTTCTACATTGGCCAGCCCAGATGGTGATTTTTTTCTAGATCAATGGGGGGTGGGAGATCTGCTCACCATTCAGCCCTGTGGCTGGGGAATGGAGACTCGGAGACAGAATAGGGATGGAAGGTTCACATGGGCTCTGTGGTCAGAATTCTAAGGTCCTTCCCCGGCATTTGCATGAAAGTTTAAGGGGAAACCACTGATCAGAGTAGTTGGTCTTCGAATTTTATTTTGGTAGATGCGACAAACACACTGGTGTTAAACATTTTCTTTTTCTGGTCCAACAGCACTTCCTTCATCTTCTTTCTTCCTTCATCACTTCCTCTTCATCATTAAATTGGTTTTTGTTATTCTAGATCCATGGGGGATGGGCCATTTAAGAGAGGATGGTTGTCTCTTAAGGATGGGAAATGAGAGGGGATTGGGCAGAAAGATTTACGTGGGATTTGTTGCCCATACTCTTAGGTGCTGCTCTGGTATTGGCGTGAGTGGTAAGGGATACTTTTCCAATTTTGTATGCCCAGAATTTTTTTAAAACTGAGATGGTATTGCATTATTTTCTATTCTCTTGCAGATTAATTTAATATTGATTAATAATTCATATAACAACAAAGTATTCATTGTGGAATTAAGAGATACTTCTAAGTAGGGGACATATTAATGAACTGTCATTTTTTTTCTTTTCCCGTTAGAACTAGCCATTTATTATAAAAAAATTATTTTATGTTATAACAAAACACAATGACCCATGTCATTTTTTTGCTTTTTTCATTGATTTTAATATCATCTTAATAGAATTTGCTTCAAACAATATTTACGAGGTGCAACAAATGTTCACAAAAGAATTGCTGAGTAGCCTATTTGATTTCTTCACACACATATTGTAATGTCAGCCATTATAAGTACTATGTAATCTAAGGTTCCTGTGAAGTTCTGCTCGTTTCACAATAATTGAAGGCAGATATTTTCCTGTAAAGAACAGTTCAAACTCAAAGTTCCAAGCTGAGTTCACTTCAGCAAAAAGAAGAAGTCTTGATTACATCAGTAATATATCCAACAACTTGAGTTGTTCATTTGAAGTAATTTTGATCAAATGTTTTTCATCATTTTTGTAGCATTTTAAAAGCATTTTATTGTTAATGTTTGGCAATTTGTAGGTCATCAATATCTGCCCCCTTCTGAATTAGTAGTACTAATAAGTTAACAGTCGTGAATATCAATAGTAATATGTTAAGAGAAATTTTTGTTTTTTCTTATGTTATTGTAGTATTAAATGGAGTGGCACAAAAGTCAGTTTTCTAAAAGTAAACGGCATCTGGGTAATAGTGTTAAACATTTACACTTACATTTACTTCACAATTACATTTACTTCTAAATAACGTTTGAGTGATAGCTTGGTAATGTCAGCCTTTAAATTCTTTTGTAAAGAATTTTGTTGTGATTGTCCTGTCACAATTTTCCCTATTGATGTGATCCTAGTAGATATTAAATTATAGAAAAGGAGGCGAATATACTCATTTGGGTTACTGCATCTTCATCTGGTGTAATTGAACCTCATTTCTTTCACACACGTTATTTTGGAATACTTTCTAGAAATGCTGTTGAATGTTGTGGTGGTTGAACTTTAAAACATCTCCATCTATTGTGGAGCAGTAGGATCGACATCCTCTTCATTATGTTGTTGACGTTCAAGTTATTTTTCAATGAAATTTTCTAAAGTGGATAGGATTGCATGTCACTATTCATTGACCCTGAGCATTCTCATGATTTGATACTATGTAATATTGCTTTGTTTGGTGAAGGTTTTGTATTCTCTTTGCCCACGTAAGGCTTGCATACACCAAAAGAATTATATATCTACACCATTTTCATCTTCAGCAGTGATCTATGGTTATCACATGGTACTTGCTATTCTGTTGTTAATAGTTGCCTGTTTGTTAAAAAAATGAGACAGAAGTTTACCGCAATATACACAATATACAAAATTTGATTGTGCCCACTTTGTAATTGATTCAATATAATATCAAATACAATTAAACATAAATTTTTTAGTGAGAATGAACAGACTTCTGCACCACTTAGTAGTGTGAAGACATGTACAACAACCCCTTCGCAATGTTTATTCATTAGATTACTTTCAGTATCTTCTCCTCAGAAGTGAATTATGCTTATTTTTGAATGCTTTGTGCTGTTTATCAAACACTGCATCGTAGACTGTTTTGACCATCATGAAATGACTTTCCTCAGGGCCATGTTAGTACGGAGAATCCAACAGTGGCACAATGCAACGTGATAGAGAAAGAGCTGGCTATAGAAGCCTTACTACTTAATTTGGCACTTTATTTTTCTCCCTCTCTGACAATACTCAATTTTGAGTAGCATCGCCATATTTACTTCTATGGGATTTATTTAAAAGTTGTGTTTTTTTTCGAAATTTGTTTCTAGATATATCCTTCCGAGTTTGGTTTACAACGATTAAAGGAAGAAGAAGAGAAAGGACCATTAGAATTAAGAGCGGAAGATGCAGTTGTCGCAAATAGTGATACTGACGAAGATGAGAAAGAGAAGAAAAAGAGAATTCACAGAGACGATGATGAGGTCAGTGAAAAATTTTCATATCAAGTGTTTAAGTTATAGAGATCCTACTCGCTAATCTGTTTTTTCCTGGCTACTTTGTCCTGTCTAAAATGTATACACTTTTTGTTTAAGGCTACAAATATTATTAATTCATTTTGTAATGCTTTCTGCATGACAAAACTGACAAGTCTTACAAATTAAAAATAAAAAAAATTGCCTTTATTTTTGCCTTTTGTTGTTCAAAACAATGCTGGTGATCTGTGAAGCTCAATTTATACTAACAGAAGGATGTTCATTGATGAAAAGGTGAATCAGTTGTCACTGATCTTGCCTGGGGAAGATAAGATGAAATGCTTAAAAAGAAAAGAAAGTGATAAGATTTACTATCGCTATTCCTATTCTTCCACACATCAAATGATAATACAGGTTACAACTCCATGAAGTGCTTTCTAACAATTCACTTGTCACTTCACACTTGGCAAGGACAGGAGGCACAGTTATCCTGATTAAATAGTGTTACCTATCCTAACTTGGGGGTGTCCAACTTGCAATGTCTCAAGGGCCACAACTAAAACCTTTAGTATGGTTGCAGGCCATATTTACATTACTCTGGCGATCCACACCTAACTTCCTTGTGTTGTTGATACTGGTGGTTTGCACAGCTGCTCTGAAAAGGGGGAATGGAACCATACACATCTATCTAAACCATGCAAAGAAACACATGAAGATGATTTTGAATTTCTGGATTTAGTAGAAAATATACTTAAATCTAAACTTAACCTATTTTTATATTAAGGGAGTAAAAATAGTTATCACACCTTATGTAAGCAAGGGCTCCTTACACTATCCTCATGTTTTGTCTGACAAATCTGCTCCTTCAAGGCAGGTGATCTTTGATGCATTGCTGCAGCCCAACTGACACGCTAGTAAGCTATGTACTTCACTCTTGCACTCCATGGTTTTCCTGGGATTTGCGGGATCTAATCTATGTACTTTGGTTATTCTTGAAATATCTTGTTCTCTAAATATAGGAGGAGGAGGGGAGTGAATACCAGAGGGAAAAGCTGCGCCAGTACCAATTAAAACGACTTCGCTACTTCTATGCTGTGGTGGTGTGTGACAGTGTGTCCACTGCCGATGCACTGTATAAGGAATGTGATGGTATGGAGTACGAGAGCAGTGCTTCTCATTTGGATTTGCGGTTCATCCCAGATGATGTGACATTTGACCAGGTGAGGTCTTTACTATTTGATTTTGTTTAGTATTCAGATTCTAGAGGAAATCAAACTTGTTGCTAAACCAACATTTGATCAAATCTGTTGTTTTTTGATCCTTTACAAGGTCCTACTTGCAGCTCTAAGAGCTGAACTCAGTTATATAATTAATTAATATTTGATGCTATAATATTAATTAATATTTGATGCTCCGTGCTAGATGCTTTAACACAGACAATGAATATTTTTTGTGATAACCAAATGTCTCTCAAAGTTTCGCAATCATAACTGTTCAATATAAACTGACTGCCTAGGCTGAAAATGGATAGAATCTTGCTTAACACTGCAAAAAAATGGATGTCAAGATTTTGATGGAAATACATGTTTCAGGGGTCTCTGATACCGTAATTTTGTTTTCTTTCTATAACGCCCATTCGTCCTTCTGTCTATGAACCACAATTAACCTAAACCATACCCAGGATTTTCACCAAAATAGTTATTCTCAGATTGATCTATCTATCATCTAAAATTTGAAATGGAAATTTAAATTTTCTGGGGTACGTTAGATGAAACCCCCTCAGATGTTTTTGAAATTTTTTCAAAAATGGCTCCAAAATTTTGTTTGATTCCTTTACTTCAATTATGTGAAATACTTTTACAAAAAGTTGTAAGGTCCCATCTTCAGTAAAATTTCAAAAAGTTCAAATTTTTTTGCACCACCTACAACTACATTGTCAATGATAGAAATTTTAAAATAATGTCGTGTACAATTTTTTCAAACTATGAGTAGTTTTCATGTAATTTGTAGTGTTAACGTGACAATTTTTAAAATATTTGCAAAAAACATTTTCTCAAAAAAGGGTTCTAAATGTTTTCCCTAAACTTGTTGCTCAAAGGGAGTGTAGTTCACTTACTAATAAAGCATAGGTCTGATTTTCTTTAAAAACCTGAAATTTGGAAGTGCGAAAGTTTAATTTTTTCAGACATGTAGTTTTATTTCTGATGCATTGGGACCATTGGTATACCCAACCAGAATGTAATATAATGAATAAGAGCATTGATCATGCACAATATCAGTATGTTCAAAATAAAATCCTGGCCTGGTCAAATGTTTTTCGAGTTAAAACAGTTTGTAGAGGTATGCTTGGTTAAAGAGGCATTGTGAAATGTCTAAGTGCAGTCAGCAGTAATACCATGTGTAATCAAGTTCAAATGCATGAATTTTTTGCTGAGGTTCAACTAGTATTATAATATTATGTACTCATTACAAATGATATGAGGAAGACTATTTTATGATAGCTCCGGTAGTTATCCTTTAAACCTTTTCTAACAACCTAACTACTGTACATTGCCACTTGGGCAGTCGTTAGTAGTAAAGAAATAGTAGTACTGTCATTAATAGTAGAAAGTTTTTTTTATGAAAATTTATTTTTCATATTGCAAAATAGTTCATAAGAAATAAATACAACATGATCATTAAATTTCAACTATAAAACAGTACAGTTTAATGACACAACAAATGCACAGACACACACAAACAATAAGTGATAATTCACTCCATAGAGAAACAAAACGTAATGACAGTAAAACATTATTTATTCTAGTATGCTGAAAACAAAATGAAATTAGCATCAATGTCAGTGAATACCAATCAAGCTTAAGCTAAGCTTCAGTTAAACTTTAAAAAAATTCTCAATGGGATATTTGTGTCTGTGTGGTTTTAACAAAAGAAATTCAAAGTTTGTTTCAATGTCTGAAAGTTTGAGCCTTAGATCAGATTTTAAGTTTAGTGTCTTCCACCACTATGACGTTATATTCATGACCCCCTTTTGTTAGACTTGTCAAACAGTTGCCGTATAGATTACACAAATTCGGCCAATGGAAGACAGAATTTGAATTCAGGATGGATTATTGTATGCCCCCAAAGAATGGAAACAAAGAGATAGGAAAAGAGAGGTGACATGCAGTCCACGGTCTTTTATCGTTAGGAAAGGACTGGGGACTAATTGTGATCAAATCTTTTTTTTCCTCTCTCTATTCCTCATGTTAGCCAGAGAAGATCGGATTGTCCATCTCCATAAGGTCTATCTACCTAACTTTACAAATCACTGCGACTTGATAGTTGCCTGACCAAGTTCTATGTGAAGCATGTTCAAACGACTTTTCTCAGCTTTCTTAATGCTGCTGACTTTAGAGTACCCTCTTGTTTTCATTTACTGCTTCCCTATATCATTTGATAATTATATTCTCTCTATTATTGTAGATTCACATACTTTGGTGATGTTTGTTCTCTGTACCTTGTGTTTATTGTGTATTTGCCTGTTCTATCAAATGGTCTGTATTACATCATATTGCATCTTTGTTATCTCTTGTATTCAGAGATTGGCATTGAAGGCAGGCATACATTAAAAGAGCCTGCTCATGGGGACAGTGTAGTCTATGCACTGTTCTTAATCCAGTGCTTGTACATTAAAAACAATAATTTCCCTCCCTTTAACTCACTCTTCGTTCTTCACTCTCTTTCGCTCTCTCTCTGTTCTCCCTCTCATGTTTCAATGTATTTCTTATGTAATGCCAACATATGTGTTTATGAGATTAAGCATTAGAATGAGGTATGTCATCTTCTATTGATGATGCTATCTGAAGTCTGGAGTCTTTCCCTTTCTTTTGATTTAGGAACCAAAGGAGACATGTACAGAGCTACCCAATATGACCAAGTATGAACCTCAACTTTTCATCACAACAGCTCTGCAGCAGTCGAAAGTGAGACTGACATGGGATGAAACTGACCCACGGCGAAACAAAATTAATGAGAAGATCAATGCTGGCAAAGTGGAAGAGATTGATGACCATGATTTGAAGGCATACTTGGCTACATCAAGTGAAGGGGAATCATCAGAGGAAGAAGGTGAGTTATTAGTTTTCAGCTTCTTTTAATTTTACAGGGGTTAGGTGTGAAAATCAAATAGGAATTGCTTTTATTTTCATTGAATTTTTAAATTTTATTTTGGTGGCATGGTGTATTAAAATGCTGGTCTAAATAGTTGACAAGATTTGAGCTCTAGTTCTAATAAGGGAAGATTGAAGTTATGTAGGGTTTATTTGGAGTGCTTCAACTATGCCCATTTAGCTCCAAAGTTATATGATGTAATAGTTCACATGGTCTGAAAAGTCTGTTTGGCATCAGGCATCGTTTGAACCATTTCAATACGAATTGTAAATCAATGAATTAGTCAAATGTATATTTGAATATTGTCTTTCTTACTGAAAAAGCAAAATCTTTTGTCATTTTAATTTAATTCTTATTCCCTCATTAACTAAAAAATTCGATAATATAAAACCCCTCTCTTCAATGAAGATCCTTGTATACTCTTTTCTTATTAGTAAAATTTAAAGTTACCTATTTCTCAAGTGCCTTAGTGATGAACAATGATCAGACTGATTGGTATCTTTCTCAAAGTAAGCAATATTCAATGCTGAATAATCTATGTGAAATTGTTAAAAATAAGTCAAGTAATAATACTGTCCGTGGTTTGGTGAAATTTAAGAAACAGTTCATCGTGGCAATTTGATCATAATCATGAAATATATGTTTTTACCATTGTTATTATGCTGAACTTCTCTCTTTATGCCCCTGAAAACAGTTCCAATTTAAAAGATGTATTGATATCAAAGAAAGGTTAATAAGTTTTCAACTTGCACCAAATGCATGTGGAATCATGTTTAAAAGTGCTGGCTTGGCTGAGGTGGGTCAGGTCATCAAGTGATGTCACTGCAGTGACTCTGGGAGGTCCTAGGTCTCGAGTCCTGGTGGTGGGAGGATTTTTACACTGGCTAGATGGTTAGGTGCAGTTCAGCCAGAGAAATCTATCAGCTGGGCACATCGATCTGTAGTGTTCCATGATTTCCGCGATCAACACCAGATGAATACCAGAGCAATACCCTAACAAATGGGCGTCAGGCCGCACACACTTTTTCCTTCCACCTTCTTGTCCTATCCTCGCCCTTGATTTACTCACACTTACTTACTTGCTTGCACTACACTAACACACCTGTTGGGAGTTTAGGGCTTGACCCAGCTGGGATGGTGCTTTGCTGGGGGAAATCTTGCAGTAGCCGACATGTAGATCAGTGCTGCATCTCACCATTCAGTGGGGGAAGAACACTTTCACTTCCCACGATAAAAACAAGCACTACACTTACAGGACTTACGACCCTGACCATTGATTCTCCTGCACATACAAAATAGTCAGTTGAATGTTCCCGTTTGCAGAGGACGAGAAGAAGGAGAGCGCTTCTAAGTACAGGGCTCTGTTGGAGAACATAGAATCACAGGAAGTGGCCAAGAAGGAAAAAAACATGGAGATGGAGGTGACGTGGGGCTTTGACCTGAACGAGAAGGTGAAGAAGAGGATGAAGGATGGGAAGGCGGAGGAGATGACTCCTTTTCAGAAGTATTTGGAGCGGCGCAAGGAGAAGAGGAAGGCCAAGCGGGAAGAGCAGCTCAAGAAGAAGCAGCAGCAGCGAAAGGAGCAGAAGGAGGTACTGTGCTTTCAGAGCTTTGAGTGCTGATTTAATGTAATTTACTTTCATTTCATTTCATTCATAATGAGTGGTTAGAAACTGATCAGGTTCATACAGACGTTGTATGTAGGTAAATTTAATTCAATATGTAAGTAAAGTGAAACAGTGTGCCGTATGAATACAAAGCAAGCATATGAAAATACAAGAGCCAAGAAAATGAAAAGAGTGGATGAATAAACTATAAATACAAAACATATATACGAAATACAGAACACAAAAAAGAAAAAGAAGAAAGGATATAACTGTAAAGTGAAAACGTTGTGGGAGACAGGTATCTGAACGAGGATCTGGTACACCTGTATTCCATTAAAACCGAATAGTAAGGCTATACTGCCACCTTGCTGATGCTTTTGTCCTAACAAACAAGAAAACAAACAACCTTTGTAGATTGAGGGACTTATGCTCTTTGAGATAGCTGAATAAAGGAGCAGAGCCAAATGACATTGTTATATGATCACAAGTTATGTGCTCAGTTGATTAGACTTTGATATCCTGTCCTTTGTTTATCTTCTAGAATGGATGTCGGAAGTGTATAGACAAGAAGTTAGTTTAATAATAGTTAAATTTGTATTGATAATTAATTTTTTTGAGCAAAATTTTTTCAGGAGGGTGACAATTCAGACTGTGTTAAAAATAACCTCTTTTCATAACAGCTTTGAGTGATTTTTGGTAAGTAAAGATTTGGAATGTTACTTTGTTGCAGAGTGGTGATGAGAGTGAAGAGGGCAGTGTTAGTGAAGATGATGTTCCTTCTGATATTGACATGAATGATGAATATTTTAAAGAAGAATTTGAAAAGGAAGAGTTTGCACAGGCTGAGAAAGCAAAGTCTAAAAAGAAGAAAAACAAGAAAAAGAAAGACGGCCATGAATCTGAAGATGAGGAGTCTAAGAAAAAGAAGGTTTGTATGTTTTCACTTAAATGATAATGTCTGTAAGTTAAAACCGTGCCTTGAATATCACCTAACAAAGAATATATTTTCATTGTTTTCTTTAAATGAACTTTTGCACAAAATTTATTGTTTTAGTGCCTTCACATCTTGGTTCTCTACATTTAAAAAAAAAAATTAGAATACAATGAAGTGTCATAAATTTTTGTTTAAGGGTCACTGTATGCTTCAGTTAATTAATTTGAAAAATGTGGGTGGTGAAGTTGATCTTTGGGTTTGTTTATGTAGGCGGAACTGGAATTGTTGCTGATGGATGAAGAAGACAATAAAAAGCACTTCAGTCTCAAGGACATTTTGATTGAAGATTCAGATAGTAAAAAGAAAAAGAAGAAGAAAAACAAGAAGCAGCTAGAAGAGAAAAGTGCTGAAAAGAAAGATGATGATTTTCAGGTAATCCTTTTTCCCTGTAACAATAGTATATGTAGTTGAGGGGCTGCAACTGAAGTTTAATTGTGTTTAGAAGTGTATGGCTTGCGTTTAGAACTTGGCTTCTTTAGATACATATTAATTTTCATTGGTAGTGTCATGTGGAAAGGAGTTCCTGAAAAGATGCATTAGCAAAGAAGTCATTGACAACAAATAAATGTAATGGTTATTGAATACAACTGAAACCTTTTCCAATTTTTTTTCTCTTTTTTACTTGTTATGCTGTAAATTAAACTAGAATGATAAAAAAGTGTACCCATAGCTGGTTTCCAATCACAATCCATCCAATCTGCAAACAAGCACTTAACGATCACTGCTAATGGCATTGTTCTGTGGAGAGGACCTTTTACTATCTTTACAAATATGAAAAGAAATTTTCTCCTATTACACCAGCTCACTTTTCTTATATTATTATTTGACAGCATTGTTAATCGACAGATCAAGTCAATGTAATTTGTATCAGGATAATGATAATCTAACATTATGTTCATTTATTGACAAAGAGTCAACCTTAGCACAAAAGCACTAGTGCTAGCTCAGATAAAAAGTCTACCTGTTACTTTTGGATGTTACTGTGAATTACAGCCTTTACTCTTCTTTTTATTTGCTTTCAGATCAATGTGCAAGATCAGCGTTTCTCAGCTATTTTTACATCTCATCTGTATAACATTGACCCTGCAGATCCTCATTACAAGAAAACAAAAGGCATGGAAGCCCTTCGGCAAGAGAAGTTGAGCCGCCGAACACTGGATGAAGAGGTGAGATATTACCATTTCTAAATGACTGTCTTTCAACAGTTATGAACAGTTAGGGCGTGCAGAAATAAGTCAGTGTGAACCAAGAAATCTCAGTATATTGAAGTTAAGTTTTGCGCACATTTCAGATGTACGTACATATTTGAATTACCTTCTTAATTTCCCTATATTACAACATAATGATATTTCATACTTACAAACTCGTTACTTGAATCTATTTCATTAATACATTAACATTCGGGTTAATATATTTATTCGTATTTCATTTGCTTTCTGCATTCGATATTCTTTAATTTATTTTCAGTGATATCGTGGCAGTGTCAAATATTGAGTTGTTGCCACTGACAATGCTGTAATCAAATTGAACTACGGATTTTGTACAGAATAATGAGTCATCATTATTTTGAACAAAAAGTGTTTAGGCTGATCATTCATGATGATGATGATTATTATTATTATTATTATTATTATTATTTTTATTTTTATTATTATTATTATTATTATTATTATTATTATTATTATGCCAAATCTTAAGTCCAATAGCATACAGTGAACTAACGATCGTGATGGGTTGGGGATTATTATAATAGTAATTACGGTAATATATGAATAATGGAGCAGTGGTAGTACAAGGAACAGGAAAATCTCGAGAACTCTGAGAAAACCTGTTGCAAATTCTACATTGATAGATTGATATTTGTATTCCAGTTCCCAAAGGTAAAAGACGATCAACCTGACCACTACATTGAGTGTGGTTGAATAGAAAATGTAGGTAAATCAGGCTTTAAATCTTTATAAAGCTGAGGAATACACATTACCTTTATTTTTTGACACATGGTATGCTGTCACCGCTCATCTGAAAGTGGAGTGTAAATTGACAGAGGGGGATCCTATGTCTCCCAAGGAAATGAGAGGACATGAAATTAACAAAAAGTAAGATACCATATTTTGACAACTAAGGGATAAATTGTTTGAAATATGACATCCCCCCCCCCTCCCCATGATTGATCTTCTGTTTTAGGCCTCTCTCTTTTTCTGGAAGCCCCTGAATTGTTGTAGGTAATTGGACTAAGAATGGCAGCAACGTACAGTATTTTTCCTTTTACTATTTACCTTTTTTTAATGTATCAGTGCATTGGTGCTGTGTGAACCAGTTGACTTTTGACTGCACGCCCACAATTTTATTACTCTCTCAACTTTTGAAACTCAATATCCGTCCATCACTATTTCTCAGTATATTGATAGAAGGGTATGACTGCTCAATGGGTCCTGATTAGGCTGTGCATCACACACTTCACTCCATATGTATGCAACATTACAGAAGTGTTGGAAAGTTTGTAATTCAAACATAATTGGATGAATTTGTCTTCTTCCTGGAACATTAAGTTTTGCTTATTTCTTGTTCTTGCTTGTTTTATTTCCAGTTACCCAGAAAAAAGCAGAAAATTGAGACTCCAGAGAAGAAAAAAGATGCAGAATTATCTTTACTTGTAAAAAATGTTAAAAGAAAAACACAGACTCTTAAAAAGTAAAAAAAAAAAAAAAAATAATACAAATGTTAAATATTGTTTTTCTATTGAAAATAGAAAAAAAATATTATTTACACTATCATAAGTGTCGTATCCAAACTACTCAGAGCTGACCACCTGATAACCTTTATATTGGGTTTTTATTGAAGAACTATCTGGTCATGGTGCTTTCGGTGAATGAACGTCAAATCCTCAACAAAACAACTAAAAAGTGGCCATTGTTCACACCTTGCATTACACCACAATATACCTTACAAGGGATTGTAAGTTTACTCCCCTATTTCTTTACACATCTGGATTCAAAAAAACATTTTTTGACTTTTCATTTACCAAAATATTCTTCTGTATGTGAGAAATTTCTCTCAACATACATTTCTGAAACACTGTTGTTCCTTGCATGTTGGTTTTGTTTCCTCTGCTTCAATAAACCTCATAAATACTAGGATGACGCATTAGAAGATCTCAGTAGCCAGAGACTCTGGCTAATGTTTCAACCCTTCAATGGCACTTTCCACACTTCTATATTTTACAAAACCGTCTTAGAATAAACCTTTTTGCTTCAGAGCGAATTCCACAGTACACTCACATCACTTTCAGTAGATGATAGCCAACAGAATACTGAATTTTCAAGAAATACATATGCAAGTTAACTGCAGTGGGGAAAGTGGAAATATTGATAATTAATATTGAAATTAAAATAGGACATATTTTTCGATCTAGTGAAACAAATGCCACACATGACGAATCAAAACTACCCTCTACTTCCCAGTTAGACCACATGATTCTCAAGCAATCCTCTCCTGGTTATAATTGTGTTCAGAACCAGGCAGTGTTAAGCAACTCTGATATTTCTCTTGCCATGTGCTGTGGTATGTTATGTAACCTGCTCTGAAGCAATCACTTTCCGAGGATTTGTTTACTTTCTTAAAGCTCGGGTTGAGTGTTGCCGCTCATCTGACTCACATGAAGTTTTGGAGGCGATAAGGTTCGGCTGTGGCGAAAGTTATGAACATGATATCAAGATGTATTGTAGCCTGTCAGTAAGTGTTAATGCTTTTAAATTTAATTTATCTGTGATGTAGGTGGTGTAATGTGTGGCAACAGTGCATTGAACTGTCAGTCGCTTACATGATGCCGGTACTGTAAACAGGTTATGAGCAGACACATTTTATTTCTCACCTTTTTGAATGTGTGTGCACAAGAAGGTATGGGTTAAAATGCTCCATCAAAAAACAGTGCTCATCTTTCAATATCTTGCCCAATTTAATGAGCTAATAACAGGTGATTTAATTATGTCTAAAAAAAATTTTGTGTCACTCCATCATCTAAATGTCATATTATACTGTCAATGTTATTTGAAGTTCATTAAAATTGGGTCCTTAAATTTAGGAATAAAAGAAATAAATTGGGAAGGGGGGGGGGATTAATTCTCGCTCACGCTAAATTTATTTAGAGGTGGGTGCCAGGTTCTATACCAACCTGCCTGCTGCTCCAGCTCTAGAGATCTCAAGGGAGTGAGTCGGGATGGTACATATGCTCTTAACATACTGATTAAAAAAAACTTTAATTGATGCTTTAAGTCCATTAGAATGGCGGAGACACGTTTACTTAAAAAAGCAATGTGCTATTACATTGAAAGATAATTTCTTTAAAACGAAGCAATCACTTTCTTGTCCGTAAGTGTGACAGTTTGATTCTCAAAAGGGGCCTACTGCGACAAAATTTGGGTTACCACCTTGGAGAGAATCGCTCTTCGACCGTCCAGTAGCGTTGCGCACGCCAGGGATGTGAGTTGGCGCTGCAGACCGGACGACGGGCGCGGGTTCGCGCCGGAAGGCCCTCGCTCTCGTACCGATGTTGAAGGTGTATTTTTACGCTGGGTCAAGCCGTCACACAACACCTACCCGCGTCGGGATGCAAGACGCGGCAAGTAGTACATCGTGACAAGTGATTTTCGGTCGTTTTGACTTCCGTCCGCAAAAAGGAATAAATTCCGTTCCACGTAATTACTTTGAACAATAATGGCGGTTGCGCATGATGCACCGGTTCCAAGATGATGGCTTTCTGGTGGAACAGAAATTTTGCGACTTGTAAGTTGAACTTGGTAATGCCTCCGTTCTCGATGAAATGTAGAAAGCGTCTGTTCTCGTTGATGTGTATCTACCCGACGAAGTTCAGAAAATAGTCTTCACGCGAAGAAATTCAGAAAGTGTCTATCTCTAGTCCCTAGCCCTTAGTGAGCGTCGCTGGGGTCACGTGCGTACCGCCCTTTGCCGCTATTGGTTCCCTTAGCTACTTGTAGAATATTCTGTGCTGTTGGTCGGGGCTCTCCTCACTCTGAGGGTTCTAATAGGATATCTTTCTTTAGCTACTGTTGACGACGGGTCGCCAGGGAAACATCCGCTGGATGTCGCTACCGTGTGTGGAAATTATCACTAACCCCAAAGAATTAGCGAGGGGGCATTTACTAGACAAATCTGGGTTTTCACGGCAGCGCTGGTGTCAAGTGCGCGAGGCACGGTTTGATGAAGATCGAGTGTCCTTTTTGGCTTTGAAGGAGACCCAGGAGAGGGGGGAGCCCCAGACTCTTTGCTGCAAGTGTGAGGGTGACCGTTACCTCACAGCTTAGCAGGTCCTGGTAGTATGCCCCCTTTGACTTGTCACGCAGTTGTGCGTAGCTAATGTGAAGGACAGACGGGTCGGGAGGACCATAAGCGCGCGTGAGCTGTGGCAAATAGCGCACGTGTGAGATGTCAAGACGTCTCGATATATAGGATAAGTCACGTAACGTAAGCACCTTCTGTAACTTTTGAACGGTGTGAGCATATACAAGTGCGCCAGAGAAACTTACTTATTTGAAAGGTCAATAAAAACAAAAGTACTTCAGTTATTG